TCTCTGTCTCTCTCCTTTTGGAGCCAAGAGTTTTGAAAAGACAATCAGACTACATTGCTTCACTTTCTGAATATTCCTTAACTCCTTTTACAGATGGAAATGGAACCAAGAGATGGAGGTAGAGGAGAGGGAAAGAGGATAAGTAAAAAGAATTAAGATATATTATGCATATGTACCTATGATGAATGTAATCATTATGTACTACAGACATGTACCAATAAAAATAAGAAAAAATTCAAAACTAAAATGAACAAATGGGAGAGATTATAGCTTTGCCTTTTACTGCTCTCCTGAATATACTTTGTTTTTCTGTTTTGTTTTGTTTTGTTTTGTACAAGGGATTGAACTCAGGACCTTGTGCTTGCCAGGCAGGCACTTAAGACACTAAGCTATATACCCAGCTATATTTTCAGAGAGTGTATATACCAGCACAGTCTAGTTGGGTGTGGCTTCCTATTCCTATAATCTTAGCTAGTTGGGAGGGCGATGCAGGAGGATTACAGATCAGAGGCAAGTTTAATGAGTCCTGGCCTAAAAATAAAAGAATAACTAGATATGCAGCTCAGTAGTGAGTCCCTGTCTAAAAATAAAAGATGACTAGGTCTGCAGCTCAGTAGTACAGTGCTTGGCAAGCATGTGTGAGGCTCTGGGTTTAATTTTAAAGCATTTTCACTGACCCCAAAAGAAGACCTATATCCATTAAATACAGTAGTTACTTCCAATTTCCTCTCCCCAGCCACAGCTAATCTACTTTGTGTCCCTATTGATTCGCCTGTTCTAGACAGTTGATATAAATAGAATCATATGTGGTCATCCTCTTCTGTTATTTAGTATAATGTTTTCAAGGTTCATCTGTGTTGTAACATGGGCCAGCATTTTCTTCTATTTTGTAGCATAATAATATCCCACTGTGTGGATGTATAATCAGCCCCTCGTGTCTGTAAGCTGGGTCCACATGTGTGGATTCAGCTAACCTGAGATCAAAAAACATTTAAAAAAATATGCATCTGGGCCAAATCTATACAGGCTTTTTTTTCTTGTTATTCCTTAAACAATAAAGCATAGCAGCTCCTTACATAGCATCTACAATGTATTAGGTATTACTAGTAACCTGAAGGTGATTTAAAGTAAACAGGAAGATACTGCATATGTTATGTGTAAACACTATGGAATTTCATATGGGGCTTAGCATCGTTGGACTTTTGTCTCCAGAGCGTCCTGGGACCAATCCCCATGGATGCCGAGGGAGGATTGCCCTGTATTTTGTTTATCTATTCGCCAGTTGATGGCCACTTGACTCATTTCTACTTATTTTAGTTTGAGTACTGCTGCCATGAACACTTAATGTTCAAGTTACTGTATAAATGTGTTTTCACTTCTCTTAGTTCTATACCTAGAAGAGGAATTGCTTGGTCTCCAATTTTTTGAAGCACTGCCAGACTACTTGCCAAAGTGCCAGCATCATTCTGCAGTTCAATGTTTTTTTTTTTTTTTTTGCGGAACCAGAGATCGAACTCAGGCCCTTGCACTTGCCAGGGAAGCACTTATTCCACTGAGCCATCTCTCCGGCCCCTCGTCCAACTTTTTAAATACCTTCTCTGGCAGGGGAGAGAGCTCGGTGGTCTAAATGCCTGCCTGGCAAGTGCAAGGACCCGGGTTCGATGCTGACCTCAGAACACCAGATGTACTGTGCAGGCCCTGAAACATGGCATGGTGTAAACCAGTCTGTGATCCCAGTACTGGGGAGGCTGAGACAGGAGGATCCTTATGAGTCTGAGCTGCGCAGTGAGCCCTGTTCCAAATAAATAAATAAATAAATAAATAAATAAAAGATTTAAAAAAAAAATTAAATGTCTTCTCTGTGCTTTATACTTTTCTAAGTTATGTGACTGTTAAGATTGATTTTAGAATTATAAACTGAATATCTTTTGATAGAAATACTTTTTATAATGCTAAACTTATCTAAACTAGTATTTGCCATTAATTTACTATAACCTTATTTTCAGTATATTTCAACAGGTCCAAAATGGAATATAATAGATAAAAGTATTAATTTTGGTTACAGAGTGGGAGGCTAAGCAAAGAGCTGGACTTAGTAAGTCACCATGTGAGGACAAAACTTGATGAACTGAAAAGGCAAGAAGTTGGAAGGCTAAGAATGCTAATTAAAGCTAAATTGGATTCGCTGCAAGGTGAGTGCTAATGAAAAGGCAGGAATGTTTCAGTAGGTGCTTGTTGAAGTCAGTATTAATGAAATGCACCATATTATAATTATATCAACAAAACAGGAGAATGAACTAAACAGTAGGAAAATTCAACAAAGTAAACATAACCTAAAATATATATATTTTTGTCTATAAACAATGGATAACTAGAAGATATATTTAATGAAAATACTCCATTTACAATGAGAACAAATATAAAATACTCAGAGTAAACCTGTTAAGAAATGCACAAGATTTACCACAAAAACTTTGAAGTAAGCGAAGCATGGTGGTATAATCCCAGTACTTGGAAGGCTCAGGCAGGAGGATCATTGTGAGTCTGACTCAACCTGAACTGTGTAGTGAGACCTTTTCTCAAAAAGACCAAAAAATAAAATAAAATAAAACCTTTACACAATATTCCTAAGTGGGGTAAACATAGACTTTAACAATCAGAAAAACATACTGTTTTTAACTATATCTTACCATTCATTATAAACATGCTAGTTCTCTCTAGATTAATTTATAAATTTTACATGGTCTACATAAAAACATATGCTATTTTTTCTTTTGGTGATAGTCAAGTTAACTTTAAAGTTCATGGGGGAAAAAAGGAGCAAGAAAAGATAGATACCTCTGGAAAAGAACAATAAAGAATAGACAGTAAATATTAAATCTTTCAATTATTTTAGTTCTCAATCTATGATCATATTATTTGTAAATATAGATGGTTTTATCATTTTTTTCAATTATTTTACTTCTGATTGTTTTTCATCTATATAACTATTTTGACTAACGCCTCAAAGATAGTATTTTTTAGTAATGGTTGACCGCTTCATCTTGTTCCCAAAACAAAATGGTTGACCGCTTTGTATGTATTCTTTAATCAGAATACATACTTGTGTTTTCCTGCAAATAGCTGATGTTATATCTTTAATATTAAATATTAAAATATTCCCTGGTGTGATAATGCATGCCAGTAATCCCAGTACTTGGGATGCTGAGGAAGGAGGATTGCTCTGAGTCTGAGGCCAGCCTGGGTTACATAGTGAGTTTAAAGCCAGTTTGAGCTATATAGCAAGATCCTGTCTCAAAACAAAATAAAACAAAAACCAATATAAAACAGAAACCCAAAACAAAACAAAAGAATTAAAATACGTTGTTAAGACATGGTCATTAAAACCATCTGGTTTTGGCATATAAGTAGAAAGACCAGAGAAGGAGAATAGAAATTTCAGGAGAGTTAGATACATGAGATATAGGTTGCATTCAGTGTTATTGGGATAGAAAAATTTTTAGACAAATAGTAGTGGTACAACTGGCTAGCTATTAAAAGAAAAAGGTATAGTTAGAGTCATTTCTCTTATCTTTTTTTTTTTTTCCAGAACTGGGGATTGAACTCAGGTCCTTGTGCTTGCCAGGGAAGCACTTATTTTACTGAGCCATTCTCCCCGGCCCCCCATTTTTCTTATCCTTTTGTGATTTTTTTTTTTTTTTTTGGGACAATCTCACTATGTGGTTTAGGCTGGCCTTGAACTCACAGTGATCCTCCTGCCTCAGCATCCTTAGTGCAGGGATTATAGATGTATGCCACCATACCTGACTCTCCTATATCAGAATAAAGTTAAATCAACACAATATTTTAGTGTAGAAAATAAAATCATAAAAGTAGTAAATATCAGCATAGCTGTGTTTCCTTTATTATCTTGGAATGGCCTGTTAAATTATAAGTCTGAATCAAAAAGGCCAGATTTGGCTAATGTGAGCCCTTCAGGCTGGCTAATGTGTCCTTGTGACATGACCTTATGAGTTGGCTATCTTTATGATTTATGGTCATTGATAAACATCTGAACATTTACTCTTGGTGGAGTAGTAGTTCTTAAACTTTAGGTTGCTTCAGAATCATTTGGCTTGTTAAAGATGCTTCTTAAAAATGCAGATTACTCCAAGTGATGAAGGCTATAGGGAGAAGGCGGGGGTGAGGAAAGTAAATCGAATTAAAATGTGCTATGCATGTGTGCAAATTCACCATGACTATTGGAATCAATGTGTATTGCAAACATGTACTAAAAAAAATTTAAGTGTAGATCACCAGGTCTTAACCTCTAGGGAATCTATTTCTGAGAATGAGTAATCTACATTTTAAACATGCACATCTGTTTATTGCATTGTATTTAGAGAAATGTGAGTAGAACATTAAGCACTGTGAAGGTGAACAGTCTCAGAAAACAAGTACCAAATTCTGAAATTAGGGATATCAATAAGATGTAATCCAGGGTCAGCTAGATAGCTCAGTGGACTAAGTGCTTGCTTTGGCAAGCATGGGGATCAGGAATTTGATCCCCAGTCCACATGCCAGGGCCGGCCCCAGCCCCTGGGTGCACTGAGCTGTGAACAGTCCAGGTGTGGTGGAGCATGCCTGTAATCCCAGCACTGGGGAGGCTGAAAACAGGAGGAGCACTACAAGTCCGAGCTATGAAGTGAGACCCTGTACTAAATACATAAAATGGAGAAAAGAAAATACCAAAAAAGTTAAAACCCTAAAAGTTCTTCAAATGATCAGAAATTTCTGTTCATAATTTCTACATCATTGAGAAAATATTCATAAATTTTCTAAATCATATTAGATTATTTTCTTTAGATAATGAAATGTAACACCTGCCTTGGACTCAAGAAAATTCTCAGAAGATTGAGGAGATGGAGGTTGCCTAAGGGGAAAGAAATATCCATACACCTTGGGCCTCGAGGATGGAATTGTCCTGCATGACTGGCTATAGCAGATTACTTTTTAAAAAAAAAATTTATGTATTTGACACAGGTTTCATTACACAGCTCAGACTCAAGCGATCCTCCTGTTTTCAGTCTCCCAGTGCTGGGGTTGCAGTCATTTGCAACCCCAGCTTGGAGTCAGTGGAGGCTCAGCAAGCCTGGGTTGGGGCCGACACCACATGTGGTACTGGGAATCGAACCCTGGTCCTTGCGCTTACCTAAGCAGGCACTTAGTCCTCTGAGCTCTCTTGCTGACCCTGGATTACTTCTTACTGATATCCCTAATTTCAGAATTTGGTACTTGTTTTCTGAGACTGTTCACCTTCACAGTGCTTAATGTTCTACTCACATTTCTCTAAATACAATGCAATGAACAGATGTGCATGTTTAAATTGTAGATTACGCATTCCCAGAACCAGATTCCCTGGAGTAAGATCTAGTAACCTACATTTAAATTTTTTTTAGTACATGTAATGATACCCTGTACCAAATACATTTATAAAAATGAATTCAGTGAAGGTAGGCATGATGGTTCCTGTCTATAGTCCTACCTACTCAACTTTGAGACCATCATGGGCATCTTATTGAGATGCTATCTTAAACAAAAATATTATAAAAGGGTTGGGGGCTATTGCTCAGTAGAAGAGCTCTTAGCTAACATGCTGGAGGTCCTGGATTCAATCCCCAAAACCACTATAATAATAATAGTAATAATAATGATAATGATTCAATGAAGATTTAGCTCAACTAAATTATCAGTTCTTTGCTTTATGGCATAGCAGTATGTTCTAGGCTTATCCTGTACCTCCCCTGCCCCTAACCCTAGAATCAGCCATTTTCCTGAGTTGTTTCCCCGGTTCATTTTAGCCAAGTATGACATTGCAGACCAAAGTCTATATTTCTTTGTGCTACTTTTCTTCTTGACACTTATCAGACAGAGCCATGAACATACACAACCCAAACACATACATACATGCTCATATGTGTACATATATATGCTCCAATATACATTCTTTAGGTATGCTAAGTTCACACAGATAGTGCTAATCCCCATCAACCTCCACAGAATTCTTTTTTTTAACATAGGGAGGTGTATTAAGGCTGGTCTTGAACTCCTGGACTCAAATGATCTTCCTGTCACAGGCTCTCAAATAGCTGGGATTATAGGCACATGGCCCTGTGCCCAGATTTCCATAGAATTCTTTCTTGTCTTCCACCATTCCATTTTTCTGTAGTCCATTTTCCGGAGTGAAAGCTGTGATCTCCAACATTAACACATATGTGCTTTCTATTTAGTTGAAATAATTCAGAACTGCACCAACGTTCCGTCTTTACGTGTGTGTGTGTGTGTGTGTGTGTGTGTGTGTGTGTGTGTGTCTTTTTGAAACAGGGTCTCACTTTGCAGTCCAGGCCAGCCTTGAAGCTCACTTTGTAGCCCAGGCTAGTTTCAAATTCTCAGCGATCTTTGTGTCTCAGTCTCCTGAGTGCTGGGATTACAGGCATGTGCCACCATACCCAGATAAATTTTTTCATAGCATGACAGTTGATGTTTCTTTTTTTTTTTTTTTTAAGTTATAATTCAGTTGAACTTACCTGGATTACATTTGTTATTGTTACATAAATGATTCATTGGAGCAGCATACAAAGAATGCTGTTCTTTATAACAGCATTTCTAACAGCAATTGCTTCATTTAAATTTTAGAGAAATTCTTTTAAGAGATTCTGTTTAGAACTGTAGAATTCTGTCCCTTTGATGAGAGAACTGTGTTAGTTTATCTAACTGTAAGTGGCATATTTGATAGTTTGAAGATGATAAAGTGTTTTTGTTATTTGGTAAAGATAAAAAGAGTTGAATTTTTTTTTAGATATAACATAAAATTGTGCATATTAAATTGTATTCTGTTCTAGGGCCAATGTTACTACCTTTGCCTAGAATAACAATATATATAATAGGCCAGAAAAATATGAACTGTTCTTAAATTTTGAATTTTCATATAAAATCATATAGGAATAAATTTGAATGTTTTTCTTTGTATATTATGTATATTCATGTCTCTAGCATCTATTAATTGATCATTACAGCTTTCTCATTTCCTTTCAGATATAGGCATGGACCACCAAGCTCTGCTAAAGCAATTTGATCACCTAAACCATATGAATCCTGACAAGTTTGAGTCTACAGATTTAGATATGCTAATCAAGGCGGTGAGAACAATTCCAAAAATTGTGGTCTTTCCTGTGCCTTTGTAGTTTTGTAATATAACAAGTAAACTCGAATGAAAACTGAAGTGGAAATATATCTTTTGTACATTTTCTAGAATATGGTGGGTTTTTTTCCCTCTTTCAAGGTGGTACAAGAGATTGAACCCAAGGAGCTGCATCT